AAAAAAACCAAGAATATTTACTCTAAAAATTCGTACTAGGCCTGAAATTCAAGGAATTTTTCTAAAAAAATATATATAAAAGAAACAGTAATTCAGGTGCTGCATACAACAATTTAGACCTGTGTCTGTGAAATAAGTAAGACAAACTGTGCAGTGCCATATTTACTTGTAAAATCAATCAGAAACATATTTTAAATGAGTAGGGAAACAAAAGCAGTTTGAGGGAATTGTCAAGAAATTACTCAGCAAAAATAAAACACAGATACAAATAGATTCAAATAAAATGATGTCAACATAAGGTCATTTGGTGATTTCAACCTCTAAAAATGCAGTAAAAGAAGAAGCATCCAGTGGGAAATATTGACTGCTGATCCCAGGGACAGGGGATAGAGGACAGATATTTTTGGGGGTGCATATTCATACCTACTGAAGTTTGGAAGCTGGGTCAGGGTTTGTTAGCTGGAGCACCTGAAGCCCCAGCCCAAAGTATGCTAACTGGAAAGTTTCTCAGGTAGTGCGTTAATAAACCGAGATAACCCTGAAATTATTCTGCAATTATTATACGAAAAAATTTGCAATTATTAAGAACCCTAAAGTTTTCGAACTTCTCAAATTTGGAAAAAGGGGTGCTTATACAGTAAAATAACGTTACAACAAATCTTGGTATGAAACTTTTTTTTTGCTAAAACAAATTTGTTTGGTCCCAGTAGTTTTGCAGGAGGCGCAATACTATAAAAACCTTACTTTATCATCTCATTTTAGGCTGCGATACCAGTCTAAAAAATGTTGGCCCTGATTCTTTGAATATAGGCTATAAGAATTATTTGATAAATGGCAAAACAGAAAAACAAACTGTTACAGTATTTCAACTTCATCAAAGAAGCAAATCTTTCTGTCCAGATAACATATTGTTAAAAAAAATGCACGAAGTAACCTAGCTATTTCATGGAATTTTGTTTAGCACCATTCCAGCATGTATGTCATTCTTTTCCATTGCATATTTTCAAAATGTTTGTTAATGACCGATTTCCAACAAAATTGCAGTCCAACAAGGGTTTTAAAAAATACCATGAATCTGGATGCAACGAATTTTTCTATCCGGTTTTAGAGAGTTATATGTAACAAGATATAATACTGTATTCGCGTTAATGCCGCAAAACCAATTGCATTGAATTGAATTGCACAGGATTTCCTCCATCGAACCACAAAATTAAAACTCTTATCATCGACCTTCATAAATTATGAATGTACAGTACAGTACAGTACAGTATTATGCGTCGATACATTGATCATAACTAAATATATATGCACTATTGTGGTACGTACCCGCTGGTCTGATCGGGAAACAGCCGGCTTGGTCAGACGCGATCCCAAATGGCAATGGGTGGATGGCATCTTCAGACACACAGTGGACGAACAGCCCTTGTCGCCAACCCTGCGCCAAAAGCCACTCTGAAGACGCCAAGCATAGGATCAGCAGAAAAACAGCCAGTCCTCCACAAATGAAAGCGATGACCTGCAAACAAATCAGCACGTTATTAGAAAATTCTTGAACAAGTTCCTATACCTAAATCACTAGCGCGTTTTTGACAATAGTGGAACCGGCAATCCAAAAAAAGTGCAACAAGTTAAGGGCTGAATGATTGACGATTTTGAGCGCGAGGAATATGCAGCTTCCACAAATCAATCAATGCTTTCTTCAAAGGGTGATACATTTTTATTACCCTTTTCGCTGTTCTTTTTTGTTGTTGCTCGCAAGGTGTTTTTTCTCAAAATTTCTCAGCATGCCTTTTTTCGGACAATATTGACAGCACTTTTATGCGTTTTTTACAATGATGTACCGACATTCAAGCACATCTGAAACATTGATTCGCAATGCCTGTAATCATTCAAACAGAATACAGGTTTGCTTCCGGCGAACTCAAGATTGAATCGTGATCAGGTGGGATTTGAAAAGTTGAAAACACTGAAGATTCCAACATTTTTTTCAAGGTCACAAGAGTTTTATTCCGGATTCAGGACGTGAGTCACGGGGAGAACGTATTGAACTTATGCATGATATGGAATCAACGGACTCATGAGCTTACCGAAAGAAAATTGTATGTGAAAAGGAAGTGCTTATGGTATTTTCATGTAAAAATGCGTTCATTTTCAAGCAAAAATGAAAGTTATCTTCCCAAGTGAAATAACTCCCTACTTGGCTTTATTTTAATTCATCCTCTGAATCTCCTGAGAAACAAAGCATTAAAAATCTCCTCAACTCGAAGCTGTTTCCCTTTCAAACCTGAATAACTAGCTTTTCTGTAGGTCTTTTGACTATCATCGTCAATTACAAAAAAAGAGGAACTAATTACAATGTAACAATGTGCTTTCAAAGGAGTGAAGTGTGAATTGTGCAAATGAACCCTTGCATCCAAGTTCAGCATCCTTTCTACTTGTCCAAGACAAAATTCAAGGTCCAGAATATCACCAGTTACTATTTCCTGCAATCCTTCTTTCTTTCCACCCAATGCAAGAACTTTGTTTCCTCAACTAGAGACCCTCCTTACTGGGATTATATTGCTGGTACCTTGAAGTTAAAATCAAATAAGCAGTAAAATCCTGTTACAGCAAATATCAAAACAACACATTTTTCAATGTAACAAACTTCGTTCCACGTCCTGGCAGAAATCATTTAAGGTACATGTTATAAAAATAGCATTACAACAAACTTGCCAATGCCAGTAAAAAATTTTTTTTTGGGAACATGTGATTTCCTACAGAAAAATCCCCAAGCAAGGCAGGCACAGTCACAAATTTCCCATCTAAGATGAGACCTTTACTGGTTCTTGGGAGTTTGGTTGGAATCAAGGACAAGCATTTTTTTCAAAATTCACCAGAACAACCTCTCTTCAATATTTTTCCTGGTTCAGGAAAGATTGGGGGGGGGGGGGGTTGAAAAACATGAAACCGTCCCAAAATAAGATGTTGATTATTTATTATATAGTGAAGTACCCCTCTGCCCTTGAGTAAGGTGCGCACCCCTATTTTTCTGCAAGAAATTTGTCCAAAAGCCTATCCCTGTGTAATATGCACACCCCTGTTTTTTGTTGCTGAAAATCAAGAATTGTGATTTTATTGTGATTTTCTTGTGGAAAAAGAGACTGGGTCAAACACATTTCCACTTTAATTTTTGGTTGTTTGCTAGATGTGCTCACATGTCTATGGGAATTTTGGGGATTTTTCTGGTTAAACATATAACCGCAGTAACCCCTGCCTTCTTTCTTTCCCTTGCAATTTATGGAAGAAAGGTACACGTGTGGTAAATGAGTAATTACAGAATGCAGGTTTTTTTTCAAATCTTCCAATCAGTCATAAATTGTGAAAATCTTCTAAAAAAATATTCATTTCAGCAATATTTGAAAGTCTCCATAAGTTCGTTGTGATAATATTCTACTGTATAAAAGGTTTGACCACTGTATATGGATGGCATCCTACATTTTTGGAAATGCAGGTATACAGCAACTTTTCACCAAATTATAGTCAGAATATTAAAAAAACTTAACCTGCATCATTAATTTTCCTTCGTATATCATTATTAAGTTGGAGGATATAGTAGCACTGAAATTTGTATGGGGGCCAAGGTAATGAATATCCGCAAGGGACTGTTTGAGAGGGCATAAAAAAAAACCATGAGTGAAAAAAATCTCTTGGCTAGGTTTTTTCTTTAGTACGAGGTTTGGTGTGAATATGCAGACTCAACCCACCAGTACTGATGTATCTGCGTCAAGAATTGATATCCTAATTGAAAAAAAAAAACGAATAAAAACTTTTTCTTAATTTGTACATGAGAACGCCCTGATGCATACATGCACCACGACGTCGCTGCTGCTGGTGCAGCTGCAGCAGCAGCAGCTGGTGAAGCTGATAATGCTGATGCAGGTTATGTACCTTGGCAGCCTGGAGTCGGCCATACCAAATGCAGGCATCGATCCTGCGGTAAATGGTCCACCAGGAGTCACTCATGTCACCGCATCCGCATTGCAGTCTTTGTCTCCACTCTCTTTTTTTTGTTCCTTCTAAAACAATCTTCCGGCGAACACACATTCCCCAGAATCCTACACCGATGAGGCCAATTTTTTTTGTTATCCCGTGTTTAGAAATTGGAATCGCGCAGACGAACGTGAAAAAAATTAAATGTAGGCTGTCCAAATATTCGCGTCAGTCAGTACGTCTTCACAAATTTTCGTTTTGCAAGAGTGGAACAGTATTTTGACACTCGAAGCATAGTATATAATATGACTGAGACAAAAAATTGATCGAAGCGCTTGCAGATGTCACTGCATGCAATCACAGTGGGAATTCTTATGACGAATGAGTTGTAACACTTGCTTCCTGATTAACTCAAAATGTACCACTGGAATTGTTTTACAATTTGCTTCCGATTGGTGATTTCAAACAAATAACTGCCACAGATTTTGCGACTCTTTTCAAAAGATGGACATGTTTCAATAACCTATAGACTTTTGATCCGCCTTCAAATACATGCCAAACCTGGATTGGTGATAAATTCTGTTTTTTTTGCTGACGGCGGAAATTTCATGGAATCCATGATGTATTGACGATAATAAGCAGTATGATGATTGATCATTATAATGCGTGTTGTGAGGAATTTGTGCCAGGACTTGCTTATCAAGACATCTGGCATACGAAAATTGCAAATTTCTTGAAATTGGCTTCTATAGCAACCAACATTCCCTTCTCGAAATCTGGTTATGTTAAAGGTTGATTTATATTAAGTGATGCAAAACCTGGGACGATTCAAACCTGGATGAGAAGTGCTGAGAAATTAGAGCTTGAATCGATGAGAATGCTCCCGTGTGAAAATTATTCACGCGAGATTATTCTAAGAGACTCATTTTCGAAGTAATATTGAATTAGAAAACGATGAGTTTCTGATTTCAATTTCGATTTTACTCAAGCTTTTCTTGCGGCTGCGATGCGAACCCGACAGGAGTTTCAACGAAGGTTGAATATTTATAAAAGAAAAAAAAAATGTTTCCACTCAATTCGTGTGAAACTCGAAACATGAAAAATGGCACATTCTGCCCGACAACAGAAGTGACAGAATAAATCTATATTTCATCCCTCCTCATCTGGCTAACATCTCGTCTGCAGCTCATACCAAATATAGAAGCCATTCATGAAATAAAGTGGTTCATTGAAACTTTAGAACCAAAAGCACCCCCGCAAAGCTTCCCGAATATTTTTCACGTGTGGTGTCAAACCGACGAAAAGGGGATATCGAGCTTCGACCGCGGGCATGAGCAAAAGAGAGTCTTTTCAACTCCACCGGGGTTTGGGAGAGACGAAAGTAATTTCTGTTCTTTTCCTCTTACACGTTGATTTCAAATGCGAAGGGAAATTTTCACACGGATTGAGTCGCTTATCAACTTCGAACTCAATAAGCTCACTTCCCTGGGATCCGCGAAGCAAAGCAAACGAAGAATGTCGAGAGGGGACGAGAAGAAACCGGAGCCCGAAATGTTTCCTCGAAATTACGATATCGACTCAGCTTTTGGCAAAAGGAAATTTCCTTCGTAGGAATGTGGACCTCAAATATCGAGTCGGCACTTTCCTGTTCATCAACCGCGCAAGAATATCCGCATATTCCTCGCTGTCAACTGCAGCTCCGTGAAGAATTTTTCAGCAGAAATTCAAGTACTGTACTTCCTGCAGCAAGATTTGCTCGAAGAGTTATCTGACAACATTGTTCAATGCCTGGTTCGATTCCCACAATAGCTTCTCGAAACAAAGGATAGACTACAAAGCATTGGGTGCTTGAATATCAAAAGGAGTTCAATGCACTGACAGAACCGGTTTACTGCTCCAAAGAATATAATGGGCCTTCAACAACCCAATATAATTTGGAGAGGAAAAAGGGGAAAAAACCAATTTTGTGCTTCTAAACAGAAGCAGAATCTACCGATTCTTGAGTGATTACAGCAAATTACCTTTATCCACCAACATTCAAATTAAAAAATATACATAAATCTGTGAAGTAGGCTGCACAAAAGAAAAAAAATGGCCACATTATTTTTATTAACACCGAGTACCAACAGGAAAAAAATGTCAATCTGTGTTTCCGCGCATGCAGTTCTTTTGTCGGTTACACAGATGAAAAATGTTGACGTGAAGTATTACACGCAACTAAGCTATTGCGTAAAGTGACCAGCTGAGCCTTCGAATAACGGCGGTCAGCCTTTTACAGCAATATAAAAGCCTGTCTGAGTTAAGCCATTCATATCCCAAGTTATTTCTGATATTGAAGAGAATGTTGAGTTGTTTTTTGAAAAAGAGGTGGGAAATATTGTGAAAATGTCTCGCTAATGAAAGTCGATTAAAAACTGAAGTGAAATTTCTCTAATTCAGAAAAACGTGCAGAAACAGAGGAAAGCTAAAAGAAAGCAAATGGGAACCACTCCTTATGGATGGTGGTATCCAAATGATCTGTGTTTTGATAAAATTTCAGAAAAA